AAAAAAAACAACAGAAAAAAAAAGAAAGAACGGTTCGGATTATTGAGGAGATCCAGACGCCTGCAAGTGGAGAGTGCTGGGTTCTGTCTGCCACGTGTCCGATAGCCACGTGTACAAGCCCTCGTTTTTTTTTGTTTTTTTTTTTTGAAAGTTTGTAATCGTTTTTAAGCCCGCAATAGCAATCGTATTGTGTGCGACTTGTGGGTGACAAGTCGATTGTGTGGGACTTGTCCTCAAAATGTCGCGCACAAGTTAGGGGCGCTGAACCCCATTTTCCACGAGGACCAGGTGCCGGCCCCCGGCCAAAAGAAAGGAGCAACCCTCGGAAGAGGAGAGGGCCATGATATCAGGCGGTGCTCGTATCACCCTGGATTGGAACACCACGGATTGGGATTTTCTCGTCAAAAAAAAAAAAAGAAAAAAAAAAAAAGAAAAAGCAACTGAAAAATGTCGCGCACAATCGGATTGTGCGCACGCACACAATTGGATTTTGTGCGACTTGTGCGACAGCCACGTCTTTGGAGGTCTCTCAAGCTCGTCTTTCGTGTGTGACACACTCATGATTGCCAGCCACCTAAACAGACGGACATCACGTGGCTTTCGTACACAAGTCGCACACAAGTCGCACACAAGTCGCATACAATCGTCGTCTCTCCCATCCACCGCTTCTCTGTTCCGTCTTGTTCACTTCGTTTTCGCCCTAATAGGACGCATAAGCATCGATTTTTTTTTTATTTTTTTTTTCCTTTTCGAATTCTTAAAACTCTTTTTTTTTTTTTTGAAGGGCGACAGCCTTGAGATATCGTCATTGAGCTGACTGGCCCCAGGCAATTCAGAGAATAAGGCAGATGTGGCCTAGCCTACATTATCCCTAAGAATAAGGATCTTACTAAATTTAGACCTATTAGCCCTTCATTCTCTGAACCTACRAAAATGGCTGGAAGTCGGGTGGCACGTGCACTGAACCACCTCCTTTTTATCCTACCTAAGTCCCTGCACTTTAACTTGAAATCCACGAATCTACTAACTAGACGTATACTGGACATTAACAATTGGATTGATAAGAAGAAGGGAAATCTACAATGTGCATCATTTGATATAAAGGAAATGTTTAGCCGTCTGCCTCACGACTCTATTCTAAAGGCACTAGACTGGCTACTCAGCTACTACAAAGAGAAAGGGAAGAAGAGACTGGCAGTTAAACGTCGAGGTAAAGGGATTTCTTTTTCTCTGAAAAAGGATCCTGAAAGCTGGATAACCATAGACTTGGAGGATATACATCACCATGTCAGTTACGAACTCAAGAATACTTATGTCATGGCAGCGGAACGACTCATCAAGCAAGAGACTGGTATCCCTATGGGAAAGAGCACCAGTCCCCCTCTGGCTTGCATCCTCTGTACCTATAATGAGTTTAGCTTTCTTGCAAGTCTAGGCTCAGATAAGAAGATGATTAAGGGCATACGCCTCATGGATGACGTCTCACTTTTTGTCTGGAGCAAGGGTAAGGATGGGGATGCCAGAGCAAAAACTATCATTACACGTTTTGAATCTGCATATGACCCAGCCCTTACACTGGAAAGAACAGATGATGGTACAGGAGAGTGGGAATTCCTTGGGACAAAAATTACAGCGGAAATAGGAGGGAAAGTGACGACCCAGCTTGTACTGAAGAACTACAAAGAGATTTGGAAGGACGGAGCGCTCACCTTCAGAACCATCCAAGACTTTGCATCGTACTCTGCGATTCCCCAGAAGAAAGCTGTAATCACTAGCTGCCTGCACAGAATTTACCAAATGACTTCTGAGGTGGAACTGACGGGAGTGAGTTTACTTACCCTGAAACGATTACTTCGACTGCAAGGCTACCCAGGTAAGTACTTCAATGAATGCCTGGGAAAATTCATACGTACTACAGCCCCGTCATGGGACAAATGGGGRAAAAAGYTCTGTGGCTGGTAATTTCTAGTACCCTCATCTGCGGGCTGTTCTGATCTGCTGAGCCCCAACCAGATTTCCAGCCACGATTGCTTTTGGATCTACTCGACTCAAAGAGGAGACTTTCCCGGTTTTTTCTTCAGGGGAAGACTCTTGGGTGGACAGCGATTTTGAAACTTCGGCCATTCTTACTGAAATAGAGTTACCGTGTTTTTCTTGTTTGTCTTTTTGCTAGATCTTTAGTTAAAAAAGTTTTTTGATTTACAGGCTACAAACAACACCAAGGCGGAAGCTGAGATACTGCGTTTGTCCTTTGCTAGATCTTTAGATATAGGGTTTTGATCTACCGACTACGAATAACTACAGGCCTTACTCTTTTTTGCTGAGTCCTTCCTGGAAACTGACCTATAGATGGCGGGAATACAGAGCCTAGCCCGATTTCTTTTTCCTGAACATGCGGACTACGATCTGAACGTGGGATTTCTGTTTTACCTCCGCAGCYTAGGATTTTCACGTAATCCCGCGGATAATTCCGACGCCAAGAACAGTGATACTCCTGCCCTGGACCGGTTTACAAAGTTACTGCGCCTTGAGTACAGGATACGAAAGACACGAAAGCGTAACTCGTTTTTTGGGAGTACTGCCTGTAGACTGACCTCAGCTTTCCGTATTTTTYGCGCCAAGAAGGAGAACTTACCTYRGTGGTTTACTAGCTACGGGATGCCTAGATAGAAGTTACATTTGCTACTATTTAAGAGAGAGGGCTTTCCCTTTCTCTTACCTCGGATATTTACCMCTCCTGATGAGGCTAGAACTGGCTCTAGCCGAAACCGGTCGAGGGAAGCCAGACAGCCATCACCAGGGTTAGCCTGGCTATGGCTTCCTCTTGAGCTTTGTTGCAGATCTTTCGAAGAGATACTCTTGGTGTTGCAGAAGAGTAACTTCTGAGTAATTTCCGAGTTTTCACATATTCTGGCGGGTTGTATTTTTTAGCAACTTGCTTATGTGTCGCGTGCCGCTGATCTCAGTCGACGCTGTGATTAGCCTTCGCTCTTTCCAATTCCAATTCAGAGAAATCAGAGATATTTGGCTTTGCTCATCAAGTTCCATCATCTGGATTCGAGGTTCGAACTCAGGTCTATATTTCAACACTTCAGGGGTGTACCCATTGAGCTAGGCTCTTGGGGTAAAACTCTATTTGTGCTCATGTGATTCCATCAGGATTCGAACTCATCCGGTTTGCTAACAGTCATATGTTGGGTCACAACATATGAGAGAAGTTGACAACAAAAAAAAAAAATGTAGTCGACAACAACAAAAAAAAGGTACCCTTCAGCCACATGGACTGGGTTCGACGAAAATTTGGAGACGGGGTCTCCCATGTCCCTTGCAGTCTGCCATGGTTGTTTGTTTGTGTTAAACCACCACTACCTTTCCCAGGCAAACGCAAAGTCCATCTAGTAGCCTACTCCTGAAAACACGGGGCTCGGGGCAGGGTTGGAGGCTGACGAGAAAAAAGAAAAAAAAAGGAAAAAAAAAGAAAGAAAACGAAGAGTCCCCACTCCAGGGATGTCGGGAAAGGCCCTCACGAGGGTGGAAGTTATACCAGTGCTTGGACGAATGTATCTGGCCACTATGTCGGAAAAGGGATTGCAGGTCGTTTTTCTTTTTCTTTTTGTTTTGAAATCCTTGTAGTGCCCTGCCAGCCAGGCAGGGCGTGTTTCACGGGTGGCACGTAACTGTATCACTGCTGTAGCATCATGTATCTGCCCTCAATCACAGGAAAAGGGATTCCTTCTTTTTTTTGTTGTTGCTTCTCTGTTTTTTCCCATACACGCCCTCACTGAGGGCACAGTCACACAAGTGCTTGGACGAATGTATCTGGCGGTTATCAAGGCGTTGGGGAAGTCTCTTCTTTTTTTTTTTCTTTTTCTTTTTTTGCCCCTTCTTCTTTCTTCGATGAAACTGCCCCGGCTCGGCCAAACTCGGTGCGCAGTGAAAATCAGGGTCGGCAAAAACAGGTTGGGAGGTAGTGGTGGTTTAATGTGAAGAACAGCCCGAGGTGGTGCTACGGGTGTGCTGATAGGAGCAGGCACCACCATCACTCTCGGG